CCAGTACATTTGCAGATATTTTTGAGCTCTTTTATTCTCGCTTTACAGGCGTGCGGGCTTAAATGGGGCGTCTCTTGGGCGCAACAGCTGACGACTGCAGAATGTGGAGAGGGCTTTGTAGCCAGTAGCAGGAGCTGAGAGGGCCTTAGCTTCCTGGCTATAAATCCAAACGCTCATGAACACAACACCGCTTCCCCATACTTTGGTAAATTCCAAGCTGTTGTCCATATTCATATTTGGAGTCATATCGCGGGGCGTTCGAGCTGGTCGAGCGCAGCAGTGCGAGCTCCTCGCGCTCAGCGTAGCAGGCGTCGCGTCGAACACCGAGCGGCACACGCCTGCTGGTCGTGGGCTTGTCAGGTCCCGAGCCGGATCTACAGGTCCGACAGAATCCCTCACTCCGTAGCTCCCAGCGCTGCAGGCCGCTGGATCACGTCAGCGGGCTAGCTCGTCCGCTGTCGCCGCGGCCCACGGGTCGGCGGGCGGCCTGGCCGGTCCGGCCGTCGGCGCCGTGCCCGACGGACGGCGCCGCGCTGCCACCCCGCTCCACGTCGGCCACCGAGTCGGGCAGGCCGGCGCCGCGCGTCTCTGGCAGCAGCAACGTGGCCAGACCGGCCAGCAGCGCGGCGGCACCGAACACGGCCGACGGCGCGCTGGCCCTGCAGCTCGCTCACCAGGTCCACCACGAACGGCGAGACCGGTGGCGCCCCAGCCGCAGCGCCACCTGGCACACGCCAAACCCGACGGCGCGCGCGCACGTCGGCATGTACTCGGGCGAGTAGGCGTACAGTATGTTGAACGCCAAGCTGACGCTGAGCTGGCCGACCAGGCCGAACGCCAGCCGCACCGGCGGATGGCTGACGGCGAAGATGACGAGCATGGCGGCGGCCGAGAGGAAGAAGCAGGCGGCCGTGGGCCCGCGGCGGCCCAGCCGGTCGATGATAGGGAAGAAGAAGACGGAGGGTAGATTAGCAGGCCGAGGAGCACGCCGGCCAGGTGCGGCTGCCGGCTCAGCTGCGTTACGTCGAACGCGATGCCGAAGTACGCGCCGGAGACGACGAAACCAGACGAAGGCGCTGACTAGTGTGCTTGCGCCGCATACGGGGCGTTTTGACCAGCTGCAGCAGCTGGCTGAGGAGCCGGCTGCAGCGGCCGCCGGTATCTGCCTCTGGCGCTGGCTTGCCGGAGTGCACCCGCGTCATCATCTTCAGCACAACGTCCCGCGGCGGCATGGCGGCGCCGTTCCAGCGGGCGCCCGCCGCCAGCACGTCGTAGGCCTTGGTTGGCCGGCCGCGCAGGAGCAGCCAGCGCGGCGACTCGGGCATGAGCCAGATGTTCGGCAGCAGCCCCAGACAGGGCACGGCGTAGACCAGCTGCAGGAGCCGGCGGTTACGCACGGCATAGGAGAGTGCCGCCACCAGCGCCGTGCCCACCGCGAACGGCATGAGCGTGAACGCGCTGTAGCGTGCGCGCTGGCCGATGCCGCCCAGCTCGGCGACCAGCACGTACTGGCTGCCGATCATCAAAGCCATGGCCAGCCCGCTGAGCAGCCGGCAGGCGGCGAACAGCGCGTAGCTGGTGGCCAGCGCCGACGTGAAGGCCACCAGCACGATGAGCAGCATAGCCGGCAGGAAGACGGGCCGCCGGCCGAAGCGGTCTGCCAGCTGGCCGGCAGCCACGGCGCCCGACAGGCCGCCCAGCATCAGCAGCGACTGCAGTAGCGACAACAGCGGCTTGCGGCCGCACACCAGCGCCCACTCCGTCACCACCGTCGACTCGTACACGGACCGGTCGAACACCCAGCGTCGGCAGGCGGCGCTCGCGTTGGGTGGGTGGCAGCGCTGGGCGGCGGCCGGCAGCGAGGCGTACGTGGCGTTCGCGTCGAAGCCGTCGGCGCACTTGAACGGCGGCGTCGCGCCGATGAACATCATCGACATGGAGAAGAATGGCAGGATGAGCCACATCAACGACATGTAGGCCAGCAGCGCGGTCTGCCAGCGGCCGCTGCCGCATGTCAGCCGCAGAATGTCCTCGAAGCTCTCCGCGTCGTGCTCGGCGCCGCCGTCGGGCCGGGCCGCGTCGGCTGGCTCCGCGGACGGCCGGCTCGTCTGGGCGCCGCGTGTCGGCTCCATCAGGGACCGCAGCGGGGCGGAGAGAGGTCCGCCCAACTCTGCGGCAGGAAACGACGCCGTTCAGATCGTTTAAAGCAATGATGATTTTCCCACATTCATGTCATGGGACGTAGCGATTCCTCGCGTTGCAACATTTCTCAACACGGGCGCCAACTTCATGCTCGGGCGCGAGCAGAATTCAGTGCTTGGGCAATGCCGGCACGAGAACCTCCCTACGGCAGGGCAGGCAGCGGTGGATATGATCGAGAGGATGCGCCGCCGCGGGTTGGCCTTCAACAGTCGTGGAACAATTGGTAGCCTAATTCTGAATTATTCAACGGCACCAGGCTGCAAGTTTGCCGGTGTGCCTTCTGATCAATTAACGACCATCGGGCTAGGCCAGGGCCAGCAGATGTGGGGACGGCTCCAAGACATTTCTGCTACAACAAAAGCTCGTTTCGACAGACGTGCTACGACATTACTTAAATACGACACTGCTGATGCGCGACAAAAGCTGTACCGTGACTTATACGAGTGACGAGTGACTTATATTCGTCATTACTTACACTTCAAAAAGATATGCAGCCATTATATACGACCCTACTTCTACTGCAAAAACGTGTACGCGACAACCTGAACTTATCTGACTCATCCCTATCGCTATGCGTTCCTTTCTTTATCCCTGTCGACTATTTGTCTTTCAGACTTTTAAGATTCGAGTTCTATCGCCTTCAGCCATTTTGCCCGATGGCTTCGTTTGATTTTTGTCATTCGACTTTTAGCTCCATTTGAGCTCTTGTCCAGGAGCGGGAGTCGGCGACCCCCGCTTGATGTATGTACGCCGATATGTAGGGTGCCGGTAGTGTAGAGGTTCACGCGTCTGCGTTAACAACTACGCGTCTGGGAACCCAGAGGTACGGGTTCGATTCCCCGCGGTGCCCGCCCTTCCCGCCAGGGTGAGAGGCAGGCGACGCCATATAACCTCAGCAGCTGTGTGCGTCGTAAAGCCTCAATGGCACGCACATATGTACGCCGAACGCCCGCCATTCCTGCATAACGGGTGTCTGACGTCTATAATGTCTTCCCGGTATGCCTGCCTTCTGACATCTGGCATTCGTGTCTGACGTCTGCCAATCCTTCCCTACCTTTATCATTCCTTGCTGATCTTTGTCATTCCTGGCTGGCGTCTGTCATTCCCGCCTGATTATTAGTTCTTGGCTGCCCGAATGCATGCTTACCTGACGTCTGTCCGTCCTGCTCGACGTTTCAATCCTGCCTGAAGCTTGTCTTCTCCTCCTGACGCCGGCATTGGGCATTGACGTCAATGATGTCATTATCAAAGCAGTTGAGTCCCACCCGTCACACTTGACCTGTGGCAAGATATTGCGCCTTGCGACCCGTGCCGCTGGCCCTGCCGCGACTGTCAGGGCGGGTACCTTTGAGGGGGTCAGCGTCCTGATTTATACAACTTCGCTCCGTTCTTTGCCCTGGTCCGTCCAATCCAGAGGAGGCCTATCATAGGCGCACGGCTTCTCATACGACATCGATACCTAATTAAGCGTACCTTCTCTGTGCCTGGACCCGCCGTTGCGTCCCCAGATATCTTGCGCTGAGCCGTTTTACACAGCCAATTACTCCGGAATGAGTTCATTCCTTACGTTTTGTTACGTTATGTCGTTATGACACCAGGCCCATTCGTACTCGGCCGCGACGCGAAGTACTATGCGTTTGTTTATATGAAGTTGTCGGTGCTTACACAGCAGCACCTAGCAGCGGTCGATATGCTGTAGACGGTCCTGTAGTGTCCGGGAGATAGGCAGGTCTTGATTGTATGTGGAAAGTGTGTTGGATAATGAGGTATTTAGCTACAGATCGATTGCCACCAACTGTTAGTTGAATGATCTTGTTTGCAGGCAATCACTGTTGTGCAGGAACTTGCCGATTCCAGTAAATGCATTGAGCTCCCTGACAAGGTCACAAGGTGGTTTGTGATGGACCTCGTCATATTACCTGAAATAATCACCAGAGTACGAGGCAAACCTGGCAATTCATTGTTGTTTTTTTTTACTTACAGCAAATATTACGCAGGTTGTCCGTTCCCGATCCGCGTACCAGCCGAACTATTTCATAATCTAAAAGTGGTTCATGGTCAGGAGAAGTTGGAACGCAAACGATCCAAGTATCCCGCACTAAATTGGTACATTTTGTGACATATATACAGCACACTTTTAATTGCATTGTGGTCGCACAATCCGCACCACGCCAGTGCTGGTTGCTCGGTCCAATGCAGTCGGACGCTCTGTCGTCGTAAACAAATGTCTGGAGGTGTTTTATTTTTAAACCAGCGTTGAATGCACTTGGTGCATCCGATAAGCCTAAATCCAGAAGCCCGCATCTCAAAAGTTCAGCCATTTCTGTTCCGTTTGGGCGAAGCCCAATCACTAACCAGTTGAATAGTTGAGAAACAGACAAGAGCAATCAAGAGCAACTAGGAATAAAAGGCTCAAGAAACTCTCAACACCCAAGAACAAAAGCGCACGATTTCGGTTTACCAAAATGTTGGAGGTAAACTAGATATCCCATTCCATGTCGTCGCAGTGCGCGTTTGTACAACAATCTCCAATGCCGACATTCCGTGTACCATGACGTTTTACCTCATGTTCACTTCAACTCTACGCTGGCATAGCCATAACTAATTCAAAAGTATTCCGATCAATGTGCGCACCATAAGCCGCTGACATCACGGATGACTGTGGACTTCGAGAAAAATACGTGGACTCTTACCGTTTTTTTTTTTCACTCTCAACGGATTTGGCCAAACTGAATAGCTTCTAGAAGGCACAAACGCCTGCATCTCACATATGAAGCCGTTTAAAACAAATATCCCCACCACTTTAAAGACGGCGAAATGAAGCAAGTTTGAATAGTGATTTTGACACAATCGTTACCCCGCGTCAACTGTCATGGCCGAAGAAGCTGCGATAAAATGCGCAGCCCGCACACAATCTGATATCTTAAACGCTTCGGTTCATGCGCACAAACCCAGAGAAGTTTGTTTTATTAGCCCACCGGTTGATGAATTTGCAGTGCGTTGTTGACGGCGTCATTCCCAGTGGGAAGACAGCAAAAAGAGAAATGTTCCGCAAGGACCTTGCTAAAGCCAACTCGTCCTGAGCTCCCCACCTTACCGGACTGTCGCGGTCCTCGGAGGCCTTGCCGTGGTCTGTTGCGGCCGCTGGTGTAGCGCTCCAACCGATGCCTTCCGTCCCGCGTTGAGTTGAGTGTGGCGGACGGCGTGGTGCAGCGCGCCGGCCCGAGGTCGCGAGAAGGCGGTGCTGCGACCCGCCCCGGAGTCTCCGTGATAACATCTCTCGATCTCTCTCTCTCTCTCTCTCTCTCTCTCCTCTTCTCTCTATCTCTCTTCTCTTCCTCTCCTCTCTATTCTCTCTTCTCTCTCTCTCTCTCTCTCTCTCTCTCTTCTCTCTCTCTCTATCTTTCTCTTCCCTCTCTCTCTCTTTCTCCTCTCTCTCTTCTTCTCTCCTTCTTCTCTCTCTCCTCTCTCTCTCTTCCTCTCTCTCTCTCTCTCTCTCCTCTCTCTCTCTCTCTCTCTATCTCTCTTCTCTCTCTCTCTCTCTCTTCTTCTCTTCTCTCTCTCTCTCTCTCTCTCTCTCTCTCTCTCTCGCTCGCTCTCTCCTCTTTCACTCACTCATCACTCGCTCACTCACTCACTCACTCCTCACTCACTCACTCACTCACTCACTCACTCACTCAACCTGGTTATCCGGAGGCCCTTATAGGGATTCACCGGACCCTTCCCTGAAGCGGAAAACTCTCTAACCCAGGAAATTTTCCCCGGACCAATGCAGGGCCCCCTTTGACGCAAAACGATCCCGTATCGCCTCAGGGAGTCGAATCATTTGGAATCCTGTCCGACTTTACGGGATACTGGCTGAAATGGGATGGAGAGCACCTGACTGACACAGGGCCCTTCCACTGTCTTATTGCGGCCTTTGTCATAAGTTGTTATGCATCTTCAGAGTGTCTGGGACCCTGGCCACAGCGAGAGACTCTCTGGCATTCAGGGCCCCGTCCGTGTCCCTGCTCAGCAAATGTTCTTTCGCCTGACTCTAGGCTCCTTGCAGACACAGACTCCTTGTTTGGCACTTTTGGTACTTTGGGCCCCTGACCGACACAAGTGTCCCTCATTATTTCAGGGGCTCCGATGAATGCGAATATTGGACAACGACCTTGCTACTACTTGGGAGTGCGGGCACAAGGCCGGGCCCTGCTTGGGTCCCCAGGGCCTAGACGGACACTGTTCGGTACGAGTGTTCAGTACCGACTGTTTGGTACTGATGGTGCCTAATCGAATAGAAGGCCCTCATCAATTCAGGGGGTGCCCCGATCGGCGTAAAGGCCTCCTTGGTCGAAATTTGCGGCCCGGCGCTGCGGGACGGACCTTTTCTTACGACCCCCATATAACCTTTCTGGCCCTTGATCGTAAGTCCGGACGGGCCGAATGGCCCCGGGACCCAAGGGGGAACGTGCTCCCTTTGCCTACCCCCGCCGCCTACGCCACTGGGGAAGCACTAAATCTTTTTTTTTTGGTGCAGCTGGTGGCTCGATTGCAGATGTCATTGAAACAAACGCCCCATAGCAGCCAGATGGCCGTGGAATTGATAGCGAGTTCTAGAAAGAAAGCTGACAGAAAAGGGATAGACACATTTGGTACGCAGGAGCCCAGAAAAGGGATATGAATTAAATGTCCGCACACAAATGCCTCCGGCGAAATGTTCAAACGTCCCCGAGACGGTCGAAGGGTTTCAGGAACTGTGCATGGCTGCAGGCTGTAGGCTGCAGTCTGCAGCCAGCCAGGGGCAGGGTCGGTGTCCAATATTTGCATCCGTTGGAGCTCCTGAAACAGTCACGGGTCCTTGTGTCGGTCAGGGGCCAAAAGTGCCAAGCGTGCAAAGGGCGTGGAGTTCTGCTTTTGGTTTTAATGGTGAGGTAAACCAAAGCCGCCTCACTGAGCCCGCCTCTCGCGATAAATCATGTACGATATTTCATATCGCGTTGCGAATGAAAATACCTCAGAGGCGTTTGAGCAGCACGCCGCAAATTAGAAAATTCGGTGACCGTTCAACAGCTCGCGCCACGGCGCGGCGCCCAGCCCTCGAAGAGCGCTGCTGGGTGCGCTTCGAGGGAAGAGTGAATAAACACACGCTGCGGTGCATACGCGGTACCTTGAGCTCCTTGGCCGACAACAGCCAAGCGACGGCACTTATTTACGAGAGCGGACGTTTTGAGGGAGAAACCCTGAGCGGCTCAGACTGTGGGCCGGGACGGCTGTAGATTAGCCGGAAGTGGGCGGCCTGACGGCGCCTGTCGGATCCTCATCACAGCAAGGAGGTCGTTGGCCAATTAAGCCAGTTTCGTAGTGCGGTGGGGCGAGCAGTTAAGGCTCCGAGGCACTGATGTACTGACAGGCGACGGGAACATGACCAGAATTCTTCCAGAACGGTTTCGTTTGTTCTCGATTCCCTGCGAAATTTGATGGAATTCCTCCGAAATCTCACAGAATCTGGTGTGAAAGCGTAATGGCTCAAATGAGGTTATGTGCCTCCTCCCCCTCCCCATTGGGTACGAGTGTTGGATGGGTCGTTTGATGCCGGCGGTGCCCGAAAGGTGCTCAGTGCCATACTTAATGTGGCGCGTTCAAGCGCGTGCCAGGAGATGTAACGAGGCCCGTCTGCCCGCGCTTGTGTAGAGTTGCAATGGGGTGCTTTGCCTGCAATGTGCGACTGCTGTGCAACATTGCAATTTTTCAGTGAATCCTTCTCATGGGGTTCTTGTACAAACGATGGAAGTAATCCCAGGTTGCTGCCTTGCTTCAGTTAGCTGTGAACCGATTTTGCATCATTCTGCAACCTTATGCAACCATTTTCTAAATCCTTCATTACAAGTCGTTGCGCCTTGCAAGAACAAAGGAGGTAGCTGTAGTGCTATATCTTGTTTCATTAATCTGCAAAACAGTGCTGCAGCATCATACAATTTTACAACAATGATAACGCATGAGCGCTGAAGGGCTTCAATCTTCCTGAAGCAGTCGGCGGTGTAATCGTAGGGTCCCTTGGATGCTCGTTTCGCCGTTATTAATGGCTGCAGTGTTCTTCAACATTTTGTGAGCATTGCGAAAGTTGGTTTCCAAAGATTTTGTAATCTTGCAAAGTTGGTGACGACGTTCGTTCTGTTTCCTTATGCCTATTTTCATTCAGCGAGTGGTGTCCCATGCAACCTGGCCGTCTTGCAAAGAAAATGTCATTCAGTAATGTACCGCATCCCGTGCTGATACCAGAACTTCGCACAAGTGTGAGGCTGTCCGATTCCCTTTGGAACACATGGGTTACTTCACTGCTCGTGGTGGAGGCTGAGGTTGATGTAAGGAACATGATATTGCGGGGAGCCCGTGGAGTGATTCTCCCTCTGCTACGGCTACCTGACACGAGTTGGGTTACGATACGCCCTGCAGAGCATCTCGGCTACTACCTCGTAGTAGGTCTTCGGCTTCAAGCATCAGTTGATGGGAGCTGTGATTGTGATTCGTCCCACTATCACCATACGCTGAGCTGCGCTCCCATATGCCATATACATGTAGCCACGCTCTTCCCTATGCTGAGTTACCGTTGCTCCTACTGGTCCTTGTAGTTATTTACTTGTATTCAATGCCATGCATTCGTCCCAGTATCACCACACGCCGTTTTCATTCGTCGTATCCCTTAACCAGCTTCCGGCCTCACGATGTTGCCCCTCTAGTTCCCCCCTCCCCCCCCCCCCCAATGGCCCACAGTCTCGAGGTGGAGTACGGTTGCCTAGGGTGCCGCCAAACTCGGGTATTTGTAGGACCGCAGCCCTCTTATCCATATCATACAAAGGAAGCACACGCCAGGACTGATCCGCCATAGGACGCGCCTCGGGTTACGACCCCCAGTCACCCCGAGGCGCCCGACCCTCGCTCAGCCGACGAGTCGGAAGGATACACGTTATGTTATGTTATATGTTGCATACACACAAGTATGCGTTATCGGTATATCACGTGGTTTAGTGACGCACATGTCCCAATATCCACCGTGACACGCCTCGCTAAATGCTCACGCTGCCCGTTGTGCCAATCACAAACATTCACTTCTGTTGATGTCATTCGCAACGAACCTATACGCTAGTTTAAAAGACGCCTCAATCACAAACATTCACTTTTGGTGACGTCATTCACAACCAACCTATACGCTAGTGTAAAAGATGCTTATCTTCGCAATCAGAGTGGTTGAAAGTACCACATAATGGTAAATGAACTTGTTTGGCATCTCTTTGCATGCTCTTGAAGTTAGAGATGCCTTCAGCGATTTATTTAGCAGCGAGCTGAGATTTCACTGAAAACGCGTCGGGTGGACAAGTGCGGCACAATAATATCGAACATGAAGTTAATTTTGCAATATAATGTGACCTTCATGGCAAAATTTAAGGCCAAAGCAGGGGAACTCAAGGCGGTGATGTAGAGTTCCCGCCCCGTGAGACGGAATTTTGCCTTGGGAGTTGATCTCGGGAGCAGGAGCGGGAGCAGAAGTCAGGACTTTTGATGGACGCTAGTCGTGGGCTGAGAAATATTCTAGTACTTGAAAAGTTGAAATCGGCCGGTACTTTTTGGGGTCATTGACAAACCCGCCTTTTAAGTGGGAATTTGAAAGGTCACCTAGAGAGGTCATAACGTTTTGACAGCTTGAAAATTCCTAATTGGCGAGTAATTTTTTAGTGAGATGGAGTTTCTCGCCCTTAAAACGCGAATTGGCTTTGAAAGGTTATCTTAATTTCTGACGGAAACTGGCTCTTGCGCTGATAAATATTCTGATGCTTAAGAACTTGAAGTCGGCCGCCAATTTTTTGGTGATTTGGAGTTCCCCGTCCCTTGATCTTTAATTTAACTCAGGAGGTCACATGATATTGTAAAATAAACGCAATTCGCGATTGTGATGCCATAATCGACCATCTCACATGTCAGGGAAATTGGAACTCGTCGCTGAATAAATCACCAACTTCACGGGCATCCACTCTGCCACAAAGTAGTTCCATCGTCAACAGATCAACTATACCTGACATTCAATTATGGCAACAATCTTGACCCACGCCGGCAATGGGATGGTGAAAACAAAATTGGCGCAAGGATCAAATTTAACTTTGGAAAAGTGGGCCTAAAGCTGGAAAATTTACGTGCCCTGGTGTGATAAGCATGCATCCCACATAAAATGCGAAAGAAGGGGTGGGGGTGCAGGCTCATTAGCTGAATTGGAGAACGTATCCTCTGTCTTTGCCATCCCGGCAGCTAACATTTTACCGTGCAAAGTTCACTGCAGTCTCAAACTCCAAGAAATGCAATGAATAAGCGGTGAAGTTTATTATATTTCGGTGGACATGCTGGTGAGTGTTGGAAGTTACCATTTATGGCGAGCCATAAAACACCATGCAAAGGTCAATGAGAACCCGGAGCGTGGGATATTTATGGGGGACATGCCTAAAAACGCTCCAAAACATGTCCACATGAACGTCCCACGTTCCGGATTCTTATGTAACTTTGAAATATTTTTATGGATCACCATGGAATAGAAAATTTTAAAACTCACTTGAAGAGGGCTTGCCCGCGGAAATATAGCCGAGTATTCCCTGGAGTTTTAGAGTTCAGATTGTTCCCTGTACCGTTCTGCTGTCTCTATAGCCTTCTCCTTAGTCTCACGCCCCGGGCGGTGAGACACCCAGACGGTTTTCTGGTTAAAGCGTCGGTACACGGCTATCGTGTATTTTAAATCAACAAAACCACTAAAAGGGAAGGGTCGCGTGCCGGCCAAAGGGACCAAAACGTATCAGTCACAAACGCACAAGGAAAAACCAATGCTTGAGCCGTAGCACTCACACAGGGACTAGTACTCACCGACTGACACTGCCGAGCGGAATCACATGCTGGTCCGGTATGACATGTGCAAGTCCTCACAAGCTGTGTGTAATCCAGCTGCACACCAGTGCGGGATCTACCAGGGTGAGGCACGAGTGCACGGTCCACAGGTGCACGGAAGAGTGAGAGTTATAGTCTTGAAACTAGGCCTTTTAAAGCTCTGCCACACCCGGAAAAGTGGCCCGGAAGGTCCGCCGGCCCAATGCTGGCTCATGTAAAAACGTCTGCCCATGCCTTCCATGTTTATCATCTGTATTTTGTACATTGTTGACTGCAGTCTCGTGGAGTCTTGTTGGAAGCCTGGCCGACGTACCACGGATGAACGAGCGGACCAGCGTGGTGCGGGTAAACCGATCGACGGGTGCGGCGTCGCAGTGGCCGTGCCCAGCTCCGGATGCGTTCGGCGCTGACCCGTGGGGCACGGCCTCGGCATTATCTCGTCCCTACGCGCGGCCGGCCGTTCACGCGGGTGCTGGCCCCCGGGCCGGGCCGGGCCGGTGGCCCGTGATATGTCAGCTGTCGTCCGGGCGGAGCGACTGATCCGGCAGCTCGGAAGATCATATGTCGGCTGGCATCCGGGCGGACCAAGTGATCCGGCGGCCTGGCGGATCATGTGTGGACTGCCTGATAAGTGTCGCAGGGCGAAACCTGCCGCGATACGTCGGCCGGGTTTCCCACAGAACTGTTGTTTCCACAAGACTGCAGTCAACAGTGTGCAAAATGATATTGATGGGGATGAACAGTCTCAGAAAGGTCTGGTATCGATAGATACAACATCCCAGCAGTGGCTGCCTTTGACAACCATGGAAAATAACGGAAGACGAAGAAATTGGCAGTTCAGTGTGATTGAATGACTTGAATGCAGTGGCCATGGTGTGTATCTGTGAGCAATATCTGTGAGCAACTCTAGGAAATACTTCAAAAGGGGGATTTTGCGACACTTTAAACACGCTGCAGAATGCTGAAAAAAAGAAATAAAGACAAAGTGGTTTGTGTCAGACAGATTGACACAGTAATAAAAGTGCCCACAATTGTTTTGTGTGTTTGCAGCGCCTGGTTCAGGTGCATATATAACCAAAAAACATCATTTGTGCCCTGCCGTGCTGCCAAAACTAAATGGATTTAAAGATATGTCCGCACTCAATCCAGCAAGTTAGTTTTAGCTTCGGGCCGGGTTGCGCCGAGCGCCCGGCCGGTGCTGCGGCTCTGAGTGCCCTGTCTAGGGAGGGCTCTGAGTGGCTTGTCTGGGGGGAGGGGCTGTGAGTCCTCTGTCTAGGGATGCCTTTGAGTGTTTTGTCTAGGGACGGCTCCGAGTCTTCTGTCTAGGGACGGCTCCAAGTGCCCTGTCTAAGGACGGCTCTGAGGTCCCTGTCTAGGGACGGCTCTGAGTCCCTGTCTAGGGACGACTTGAGGACGGTGGGCGGTCGGGGTATCGCACCGTCTGCAGCTCCCGTCCGGAGACACGTGCCATTGGTCAGGGGAGCGAGGCCGCCGTGCGCGGTCCGTTTGCCCTACGGCGGTGTGTCACGGGTATGGGGGACAGGCGACCTCGCCGACACCTGACGCCGCGCGCCCGCCCCGCCTCGCTCGCAGGCGCAGCAGGCGCAGCTGAGGCGTGCCAGAAGTCGCTGGCCGCCTCGGAGGAGCGGTGTTCACCTGCGGCGGGGCGTGGACCGCTGCAGCAGCAGGTGGCCGCCTCCGACGGCGGTCCAGTGCCGAGACGCGATAGCAGCCGCGCAGCTGGCGCGTCAACTGGCGGAGGCCGGCGCGC